AATGTGTGAATTGTGTGTGTTGTGTGGTGTGTGTGTGTGTGTGTGTGTGTGTGTGTGGTGTGTGTGTGTGTGTGTGTGTGTGTGTGTGTGTGTGTGTGTGTGTGTGCAATAAAAATGATGTAGACACGGCAGAAGTAGCTAGAGAGAGGAGAGAGAGAACAGAGATAAACTAGAATAGACATAAAAAATAGATTGTGTGCGTGTTCCGTACTCATCCATTTTGTATTTCACTATTTGTGTTGCAAAGTGTTGATTCACAGTTTCTCTGGCTCACCCGACATTGCTGAGCTATTGCTAGGTCCACTACTCCTCCTCTTTGTCTACTCACCTAATTGTGGTTTTGCAGGGTCGAGACTCACTCCTGGCCCCGCCTCTTCAATGACGCTTATAGGCATCCCTCTCCCGCTCCTGCTTCCATGATCTTTATTTATACGTCTTATAATGCGATGTATGGTTCCTCCCGTGCACTACATTACCGCCGACACGTGTTTGCCACATTCCTGTGTGTGTGTGTGTCTATCTGGTGTACCTATGCTGCGGTACATGGAAAGTCAGATTCCAGAATGCACGTTTACAGCCCAGCATCAAGACAATTTAATATTCCACAAACCTAAACTCCCGCAGATTCAAGCAACCTCCCCCCTCACCTACTGCTTGCAGGGGTGTCGACCCCCGGGGTGTCGTGAGCAGGGGTGGCCTACTGCTGAGGTTGTGGTCGGAGGGGGGTTTTAGCGGCATAAAACCCCCCCCAAAATCCACCACCACAAAATTCGCCTTTTGCCCCCAACAATTTCGCCTTGTTTAGACAAACTCACGAAAAATATTTGGATGGGGTGGGGAAATTTTTTTTTATTTTTATGTAATAAATAATTTGTGGTGTTGTTGCCGGTGATGTTTAAAAATTTAAAATTTTCACGAATGAAAAAATAATAATAATATTAATTTAAAATTTTTTACTTTTTAATTTTATTGTTTTTATTATAAGTGTATTTTTAATTTTAATTATTATTTTTTTTTGAGGGGGCCAAATACGTAGGGAAACACAACGCTTGGGGAAATGGGGGGTGATCGGTTCGATCCAAGGAAGGGTTAGTCAGGTCAGTTCCTTGGATCAAGAGCCTCTCACCACATAAAAAAACCCGCATGATGGGGTTCCCCTTTAGTAACGCAATATTTATATATAATATATATATTAATATATTTAATATATATTTTATATATATTTATATATATGTGTGTGTGTGTGTGTGTTGTGTGTGTGTGTGTGTTTTGGTGTGTTTTTGTGTGTGTGTGTGTGTGTGTGTGTGTGTATGTGTGTGTGTATGTGTGTGTGTGTGTGTGTGTGTGTGTGTGTGGTGTGTGTGTGTGTGTGTGTGTGTGTGTGTGTGTGTGTGTGTGTGTGTGGGGTGTAACTCACCTATTTGTGGTTGCAGGGGCCCGAGTCCTAGCTCCTGGCCCCGCCTCTTCACCGGCTGCTACTAGCCCCTCTCTCTCCCCGCTCCATGAGCTTTATCAAACCTCGTCTTAAACTGTGTATGGTTCCTGCCTCCACTACGTCATTTTCTAGGCTATTCCACTGCCTTACAACTCTATGACTGAAGAAATACTTCCTACTATCTCTCTGACTCATTTGTGTCTTCAACTTCCAATTGTGGCCTCTTGTTTCTGTGTCCCTCCTGGAACATCCTGTCCTTGTCCACCTTGTCTATTCCACGCAGTATTTTATATGTCGTTATCATGTCTCCCCTGACCCTCCTGTCCTCAGTGCGTCAGGCCGTTTCCCTTAATCTTTCTTCATAGGACTTTCCCCCTTAGCTCGGGGAAAACTAACCTTGTTGCAAACCTTTGTACTTTCTCTAGTTTTGACGTGCTTTATCAAGTGCGGGTTCCAAACAGGTGCTGCATACTCCAGTATGGGCCTGACATACACGGTGTACGTGTCTTGAATGATTCCTTACTAAGGTGTCGGAATGCTGTTCTCGGGGTTTGCCAGGCGCCCATATGCTGCAGCAGTTATTTGATTGATGTGTGCTTCCGGAGACATGCTCGGTGTTATACTCCCCCCAAGATCTTTCTCCTTGAGTGGGGTTTGCAGTCTTTGGCCACCTAGCCTATACTCTGTCTGTGGTCTTCTGTGCCCTTTCCCCCTATCTTCATGACTTTGCATTTGGCAGGATTAAATTCGAGAAGCCATTTGCTGGACCGGGTGTCCAGTTCGTCCAGGTCTCTTTGAAGTCCTGCCTGGTCCTCATCAGATTTAATTCTCCTCATTAACTTCACATCATCTGGCAAACAGGGACACTTCTGAGTCTACCCTTCCGTCATGTCGTTCACATATACCAAAAATAGCATGGTCCTAGGACCGACCCCTGTGGGACCCCGCTCGTCACAGGTTGCCCACTGTGATACATCATTACGTACCATGACTCGTTGTTGCCTCCTGTCAGGTTTTTCTTGATCCATTGCAGTGCCCTTCCTGTTATATGCGCCTGATGCTCTAGCTTCTGCACTAAAACTCTTGTGAGGAACTGTGTCAAAGGCCTTCTTGCAGTCCAAGAAGATGCAATCAACCCACCCTCTCTCTCTTGTCTTACTTCTGTTATTTTTCATAAAACTCAGAGGTTTTTTGACACAGGATTTGCTTCCGTGAATCCGTGCTGTTTGGCATTTATACCCCTTTGTTCCCGTTCCAGGTGGCTCCCCACTCCCCTCTGATAATCTTCTCTTAATTTTTGATACTTACACGTCATGACAGGTCTTAGTTTAGTGCCTCTTTTCTGTCTCCTTTTTTGAAATGGGAATTTACATTTGCTGTCTTCCATACCTCGGTAGTTGCCCAGTTTCCAGGGATGTGTTGAAGTTTGTGGTAGTGGTAGCACAATTCTGCTCCCTCTCTAAGGCCCATGGAGAGATGTTGTCGGTCCCTTCCTTTGGGGTTTATCGTTGCCCTTAGCATTTTTCTTCCTCCTCTTCTGTATGTTTTGTCGTCCAACACTTGTTGTGTATTCTTGTTGGTGTCCCATTTTTTGTTTCCCCCAGGTCCTTCTGTCTTACTGTAAATACTTCTTAATTCTCGTGTTGAGTCTCACTTACTCTTGATCGTTTCTTGTGGTTCCCCACCTTCTTTCCTCAGCCTTATCACCTGGTCCTTGACTGTTGTTTCTTCCTAATGGGCTATACAGCAGTTTCGGGTCAGATTTGACTTTCGATGCTATGTCGTTTTCTTTACTGTCTCTGGCCTCCTCCTTATCTGCGCATACTCGTTTCTGGCTCTTCTATAATCTCCTTGTTTCCTGGGTCCTATGCCTCCTGTACCTTTTCCATTCTCTGTTGCATTTAGCTTTTCCCCTCCCTACACCTTCGGGTAAACCAAGGACTCGTCTTGGTTTTCCCTATTATTTCTGTTTCCCTTGGGAACAAAACTTTCCTCTGCCTCCTTGCATTTTGGGTTGCCCATTTTCCCATCATCTGTTTACTGATTTTCCTCCCATTTCTCTGTCCCACTGAACCTCCTGAGGAAGTTTCTCATACCTGTGTAGTCCCCCCTTTTATAGTTTGGCCTGTCCCCTTCAGTTCCTGTTACCTTCTCCACTTGTAACTCTACTATATAGTCAAAACTCAGAACCACATGATCGCTAGCTCCAAGGGGCCTCTCGTAAGTGATGTCCTCGATGTCTGAACTGCTCAGGGTGAAAAAAGATCCAGTCTTGCTGGCTATCCTCCCTCTCTCTCTGGTTGTGTCCCTGACATGTTGATGCATGAGGTTTTCAAGTACCACATCCATCATCTTTGCTCTCCATGTTTCGGGACCCATGTGGCTCAGGTTTTCCCAGTCGATCTCCCTGTGGTTGAAATCGCCCATTACCAGTAACTTTGCTCTGCTCGAGTGAGCTCTTCTTGCCACCTCAGCCCGTGTGTCCACCCTTCCCCTGTTGTTTTCTTCGTACTCCTCTCTTGGCCTCCTGCAGTTCTGTGGGTGGGTTATACATCACTCAAAGACTACTTTATGTGTGTGTGTGTGTGTGTGTGTGTGGTGTGTGTGTGTGTGTGTAGGTGTGTAGGTGTGTAGGTGTGTAGGTGTGTAGGTGTGTAGGTGTGTAGGTGTGTAGGTGTGTAGGTGTGTAGGTGTGAATGTGTGTATGTGTGTACTCACCTAGTTGTACTCACCTAGTTGAGGTTGCGGGGGTCGAGTCCGAGCTCCCGGCCCCGCCTCTTCACTGATCGTTTCTAGGTCACTCTCCCTGAGCCGTGAGCTTTATCATACCTCTGCTTAAAGCTATGTATGGATCCTGCCTCCACTACATCGCTTCCCAAACTATTCCACTTACTGACTACTCGTGGCTGTATGTGTGTTGTGTGAATGTGTGTGTGTGTGTGTGTGTGTGTGTGTGTGTGTGGGGTGTGTGTGTGTGTGTGTGTGTGTGTGTGTGTGTGTGTGTGTGTGTGTGTGTATGTGTGTGCAATAAAAATCGATGTAGACACGGCAGAAGAGAGCTAGAGAGAGAGAGAACAGAGATAAAATAGAAATAATGAAATAAAAAATGAAGGACTGTGTGCGTGTGTCCGTACTCATCCATTTGTATTCACCTATTTGTGGTTGCAAGGGTTGATTCACAGTTTCTGGCTCCCCGACTTTGCTGATCGCTAATTGCTAGATCCACTCTCTCCCTGTTTACTCACCTAATTGTGGTTGCAGGGGTCGAGACTCAGTTCCTGGCCCCGCGTCTTCAATGAACGCTACTAGGTCCTCTCTCTCCCTGCTCCATGAGCTTTATCATACGTCTTAAAGCGATGTATGGTTCCTGCCTCCACTACATTACTCGCCACACTGTTCCACATCCTGTGTGTGTGTGTGTCTATCTGTGTACCTATGCGTGTGTACATGGGAAAAGTCAGATTCCAGAAGACACATTACAGCCAGCATCAAGACAATTTAATATTCCACAAACTCTAAACTCCCGCAGATTCAAGCAACCTCCCCCCTCACCTACTGCTTGCAGGGGTGTCGACCCCGGCGTGTCTGCTGAGCAGGGGTGGCCTACTGCTGAGGTTGTGGTCGGAGGGAAGGTTGAGCGGCACTACCCCATACAACATCCACCACCACAATACTCTGCTTAACCACAACAATTTCGTCCTTGTTTATGACAATCTCACGAAAGATATTCTGGATGAGGTGAGATTTATTTTATTTTATTATGTAATAACATAATTTGTGGTGTTGTTGCCGGTGATTTAAATATTCAAAATTTTCACGAATGAAATTAATAATAATATTATTATTATTATTTTATTACTATTTTAATTATTATTGTTTTTATTATAAGTAGTATTTTTAATTATAATTATTATTATTTTTATGAGGGAGCCATAATAGCGTAGGAACACACAACGCTTGGGTAAATGGGGAGTGATCAGGTTCGATCCAAGGAAGGGTTAGTCAGGTCAGTTCCTTGGATCAAGAGCCTCTCACCAGCATAAAGAAACCTCGCATGATGGGGTTCCACTTTAGTAGACGCAAATTCATTAACGACATGGGCGAAACGTCGCCAATAAGGGCCTCACATAACTACACTTGTGCGTCTTAACCATTGTGTTGGTATAATATTAAGTCCCATACGATCTTGCACCTTCGAGGCTTACTCCAATATGGAGTGAGTATCCAGGTTAGTTTTACAGTCCAATATAGATTGGGTATCCAGGCCGGTTTTACAGTCCAATATAGACTGGGTATCCAGGTCAGTCTTACAGTCCAATATAGACTGGGTATCCAGGCCAAGCTTATGGCCCGAAATGGACTGGGTATCCAGGCCAGTCTTATCCAAAATGGACTGGGTATCGAGGCCAGTCTTAGGGTCTAAAATATGCCGACGACTCAAAATCGGGCTGGTAACAGCGCGGTCCAGATTAGGCATCCAGACCGAATACCAGTATGGTTGGTAATCAGGTTTAGATTAGGAGAAATTCGTCAGGAAAAAGGACAAGTTTTTCTTGACGCGGGTCCTCGTTATATGATAACCCTCCACTGGAGATTTTGGTCATCAGACCGACCCTTTCTGCTTGCTGCTTCCTAATGCACCAATTTAAAAATAGTGTGTCATATAATATGATGTTGTTAGTAGTGTACCTAGATTTTACGATTGTGTTGGCGTCCACAGGCGAGCGCCAATGGGGTGCTGGAGAGTAGTGCGTGGTTGGTGCTGCTGGACGAAACAAGAATAGATACTCTACTTAATCAAGCTAGCACCCTTAACCTCTTCATCGACTCTACCTTTCTCATAGCTACCTTCAGCACTTGCCAAGCCCAGGTGAGTCAGCTGAATTATTTACAGGTCAAAGTGTGTTGTGAAGGGTCAAAGAGGATCATTATGACTCGAATCTGAGCGTTATTGCGTCAAGGTGGGTTCTTGTTACAAGTACGTAAAACTGGAACACCGAGGGGCCAGAACATATTATTAGGGTTTAAGCCAGTCCCAATTTAGTTATGGTTAATCGAATATCAACCTCTCCTAGCGCTGAATTAACTACACGGGTATAATGTCCCATTTAAAACGTTGTCCCAGCAAAAGCTTGTATTTCCACAGCCATCCCTATGGATGTTACACCTCTACATCCACTTCTCAGGGTGTGTTGCTAGTCAGTGTTCTTCTAACTGCACTGCTGCATATCAAAGTGAATCACTGTGGCTCGCACAGCTATGCCTGGGGTCGAAATGTATAACTAGGTATATAAGATTATTTTAAGTGGGAATTATTTGTCATTATTAAGGCCCCTTTAATAATAATAAAAGATTCCTTATATATACAGTTAAACTTGCCTTACCTCCCAAAGATCAAACATCATTACTATGTAACTCCCTAAGATTTCATTGTTTATCCACGAATACGTTAATATTTGACAGACTGAGAATGCAGCCAGACTGTGGGATCGATTGCCGGTGTCCTCACCCTCACCAAAACATAATCATAAAATAAATTTTAATAAAATTAATAAAAAAAAGATTGACAGTGTGTGAAACTACGTCAGTACAGGTGAAGGCAGAATGCCTGATGTCCTGATATGATTTTAGTTGGTTATTTCAAGCAAGATATGACGCTGTTCAGTCATAATAGATCATCTTGCGTCCATAATGCCACTTTAAGACAAAAGTCAACACTTACAAACTGAGGTTAGCTACTACGCTTTGTGGACGAAAACCATAAATACAAATTTATCACACCGGTGTATTGCCATAAACAATGTTGTCAGTCAACACAAAGCATCTTACAAGTAACTGTAAATTGTGTACTGTGGTGTAATTTCCCAACTAACCATCAATTTGGAGAGTAAGATTTTATTTAAATTTTGCATATATATCAATTTTTTTCAATAACCTTGAGGGCCGGCAGACATTGTAAACACATAAAATAGAACATTATGTAAATCTGATTTATGGTAAACCAATAAGGTTAAACAATGTGACTTATTTCCATGGATAACTTTTTTTAATACCTGCTGCTAGAAGGTCGAAGAGTTGATCCATGGTTGATAGCTAACTACAACATGAAATTTCACTTAAGACTATGAAATTAAAGTAACAACTATGAAATTAAAGTAGCTAGAGACTCAAAGACAAATCTGAAATGGTTCTTTCAAATATTTAGAACAAAGATCAAGTTAAAAATAAGACCACTGAGAACTGGGGCTGGGCAGCTTACTGATAATGAGCAAGAAATGTATTTTCTATTTAATGGGTATTTCTTGTCAGTCTTTTCACAATAAAACTTAAATAATATCTCAGCAATTAATAACCATCCAGGTATCTTTCCTCCAGCAGGCGCACAGTTTCTATCGCATAGAGCCATAGGGCAGAAGAACAATGACCACCCAGGTATCTTGCCTCCAGCAGGTGCAGAGTGTTTACCGTGTGGGGCCGAAGAGTGGGCTGGTGTTGGAGACTAGCGGAGAGTGGAGGCCGGCTAGTGGATACGTAGTCACTTCAACGCTCAACAAATATGACAGACGCAGCAACTTCCAAGGGTACCCAATGCATGGCGTTGGTGTAAAAGTATGTGATTTAACTTCAACTTCAAGCCTCCTATCAGCAAAATTTGCTGAGTGTTACACTCTTTCATTTACACAGTTTTATGCAATGTTTATTTCTCTTTTTATCCTTAACTCTTCTTATCCATATACTTACTACTCTTTGTATTTTATCTTCATTGCGAAAAAAGACATATGCAACTCTTTCTCCTTTACCTCTTCCAAATTTTATCAGTTAATTATTTTTTTTCTCTATCATCCACCCTTCTATAACCAGGAATCTCTGCTGTTATTCCTCCTGGTCTAATAACCACAAAATGTTTAATAATTTTTCAAAGACCTTTATCTGTAAGTTATGAGTTCACTGAATTTATGAGAGGAAGACTTCCAGCCTCTGTCTGGAAAGGTCATGACCCCTTCATGGACTGTGGACGAGATGCTGATTTAAGGTGTGGATCACATGTTTATGTTATGCCTTACCAACGAGGTGTGAGGCGAAGGAGGGATTTGAGGAGGGAGGAGGAAGGAACTCTAATTGTTTTTAAGGGATCAATTCGAGACGTGAGGAATAACACTTACTTTAACTCGCTTAGCATGTGAGAAGTACGGGGACTGATACTTCGCATTTCCAGTTACTTTTTATTTTCTCTGTTTATTATTATTATCAATTTAATCGCTAAACCCAAAAGGGTTATATAGCACTACTAATAACCACCATATGTTTAATAATAATTCACAGACTTTCTGATTCACTAAACAAGTCATGGAACAAGTGAGGATTTGTCTGTGAAAACCTGCATTTGTGGTCACAGTGGTGGCCCATGCTAACCTCCCTATGTTGTATAGATGAATCTTATTATAAGCAGCTGGCCGATTGGTTAACGCACTGGCCTGGGGATCTAACCCCACCCGTTCCCAGATTCATTTAATAGATCTTTTATCTATAAGTCCAGAGTTCATTGAATTTATGAGTTGAAGCCAACATGGGTTCAGTGCTTATTAATTTCTAGTTATCTCCAATTTTGTTTATTATTCGTGACTTGATAATGGCAGAGGAGAGGCCGAAAAAAATAGTGGAAAGATTCATCTCCAATTTGTAGATTGGTTACGAATAATATTATTACTAGTATCACGGGGAAGCGCTAAACTAGTAAGGGTTCACACAGTATCCGACAATCGGGGAGATAATCAGATTTGATCTAAAGAAGGAAGGACAGGGCCAAGTCCTTGAATTAAGGCAACATTTTTGAGAAAAGTTATTTGTAAAGTAGTCACGACACAGGCAAATTTTCTGAACGTTATTAAGATACATTTCACTGAACATTTTTTTTTCACAAGACTAAACAAAGCCCCTGGAGAGAGAGAGCCATGACCTGTTGAGAGCTTCCTAATGCTGAACATGTGTCAAATTTCAACAACTGTGGGTGTCATATGCATTGTGTGATAACTAGGTAGTTATTGTTAGGTAATAGGACACGTGTGCAACTAATGCATAAGAGTAAATTACCCTCTTTACGTTAAAGCGTAACCCAAAGCCTACTCGTCACCCCGACATGGAGCATATAAGGCTCAGGCTGATTTTCCAAGACTTTCTTTGGGGAAAAGGCGCGCCTTATATGTCGGAAAATACAGTATTAATAATAACAGTGACAACCTTTTCCCTTCAGGTGTTTGACTTCTTCTCCACCTTCCTACCGGATGATGGTATCACTGGTTACGTTGGTGACATTCTCACTATCCTTAAGAGAGCTCACAACTTCACGTAAGTATTTCTTAAGCATGTGGTTCGTACGTCGGTTTGCGTGCAGCCAGCAGTAGCAGCCTGGTTGATCAGGCCCTTATCCACAGCGAGACCTGGTCACAGACCAGGCCGCGGAGGCGTTGACCACCGGAACCCTCTCCTGGTATACTATGCAGGTATGAGTATACCTGGAGAGGATTTCGAGGGTCAACGCCCCCGCGGCCCGGTCTGTGACCAGGCCCCAGCCATCCAGTGAATACTCCCGTACAGTGGTTAAGATTAATAGCTCCTGGGCCTGCAGCTGAGAAGAGTTAATGAGCTTACATTACTCGCCAGATTTTATGATCATTATAAAAATTACGAATTCACACTTTCGATTATTGTAATAAGATAAACAATGTATACTTAAATGTACTCTGAGACCGGCGAAAAAGTTGTATGAATTTTTATGGGCCTGTTTTAGGTGTTGGAAAATAACAGGGAAAACCCACCTAGTGACTTTTTTTCCCACAAATAAACAATACTTTGGAGATGAAATTCTAGACGACATTTCTTTCAATCTTAGTCTAATATCTTGGACAGAATCATTATACTGGACAGAAACATTATACTGGACAGAAACATTATACTAGAAGCATTATACTGGACAGAAACATTATACTAGAAGCATTATACTGGACAGAAACATTATACTAGAAGCATTATACTGGACAGAAACATTATACTAGAAGCATTATACTGGACAGAAACATTATACTAGAAGCATTATACTGGACAGAAACATACTGGACAAACACTATATTGGACAGAAACACTATCCTGGACAGAAACATTATCCTTGAATGAAGCATTATACTGGACAGAAACATTCTCCAGAATTTTCATTCAAAACTGTGGGTTATTTATGAATTATTTCAGCCATGACATTGAGATATTTTTCATCCTTCACTGAAAAATCTCTCGCACGTTCCTTAGCTAAGTGGTTGTAGCCTTGGACTTGATACTGTTAGGACACCGCTCCGAGCCCCACCACTCCATACAAAATCTGTTACATTCACTATTTGGCGATTTTCCTGTTTCATCACACTAAACTAGAACATTTCAATAAAACTTCCATAAGAACTTGTACTTTACGGTTACTATGATTCTCCACTACTGTTTGTAACGAAGTATTGATGAATTGAGAAATGATAGATTCTCTGGTGGGCGAAATATTTCAATAAGATGTCAACGAACCGTACATTGGGTCTTATTAACATAGTTGTCTATACACAAATAACCCGCAGGTAGGAGAGAGGAGCTTATGACGATGTTACGGTCTGAGTTGGACCATAAACGAGTCACACTAACACACGAAGGAGAGGGAGCCAGTATATATAGGAGACAAGGACGTGTGTGGCTTGTAAATAGTCCAAGTCGGACCCAAACGTCGTCGTAAGTTTCTCTCTCCTATGTTCGGATTATTTGTGTATTGTTCCAGTCACGGTATTATGCTTTTTTGTTCTTCCTATTTGTCTTCATGACTCACGAAATCGTAATAACACGATTACCAACAAACCACGTTACCTGTCGGTTGTAAAGTTCCAGGTTTATGCAATGGCCTGGAGTTTTACCACTCGCCATGAGTTCTAACCTCACCCTTACCGTGGTTTGCTTCGTACTTGTGTGTTTACTCTACCCTTGATATACATTCTCCGCGTGTGTTCCCGGCAGGCTGAGTTACACCATCCTGGAGGGCTACGCCTACGGGAAGTTAGTCTCACCAACGAGCACTGAGTGGACAGGCATGGTCGGAGAACTGCAGAGAGGTCTTGCTGATCTCACTGTTTCCGAACTCTCCATTACTAAGGAGAGAAGTGATGTTATTGCCTACACCCAGCCCGTATATATAATCAGGTACTGCCTCATTGCTGACCCTCCTACTGGCACTGGCACTCTTGTTATCACTGTCAGTAGATGCTGTCACCTGTTACCAGATACTTTCACATCACAGTTGCTAGATTCTGTCATCCCACACTCACCAGATTCTCTCAGTTATCATACACTATGTATGATAATTGTACTTATGTGTACCTGTGCCTAAACATAAGCAGTTATTTAGCAAGAGGTTAAGAAAAAACAATTGTTATTTCCACATTCACGTGAGACATTAACATGCATTCAAAATTTTTATAATAGTTTGAAATTACCCAAAATATTTTTCTTAGCACTGATACCAATATTTCAAAGAAACAGTAACACAATTCTATCCCTGAGATTTTTTCTCCCACCTTCAGCCGAAGAATGTACGTATCAACGCAGAAAGATTTCCTCAAAACAATGCTGGCCTACGCTACCCCTATGGACACACTGGTGTATGTTTGTGTTTTCGCCTCCCTGGTTGCGATGGCCTTGGCTCTGCATCTCATAGAGCGTCTGAGGCTGTGGTTCCTTCCCTCGAGAGATGAGCCCGTGGGTTTGTCAGTGGCTGCCTGGTACATGGTGTCGGCACTCCTGCAGCAAGGTGAGCTCTTTTTTTTTTTTTTTTTTTACACAGGGTTTGACAAGGTTAAGGATCCCTAGCTTTATTGACAAGCTATTTACAGGGTAAGGATTCCTAACTTTATTGGCAAACTAAGAGCTGTTACCTACATCAGCTCATTTGAAAGCATTTTTATTGTTATGAGACATACAAGTAGGGAACAGGATGAAGTTGGAGCTATCTGTGGGCCAGCATTTTCATTTGATCAACTGACTTTATCTCGTTGACATCATTATGCTCTACGAATGTGTTCCATACTCGAGTCATCCTGGGTATATAGGATCTCAGATGGAGTGATGTTCTGGAGAAGGGTACAGCCAGAGTGAAGTTGCTGCTTTCTGCCCGTCTTGTGGCATAAAAGCTTGCTTCACGTTGTCCTCGAAGTGGATCCAAGTGTGGTACTTTGACAATATTGGCCTTGTACATAACAGTAAGGCCATCCACATCCCTCCTATGTTGAAGGCTCTGCTGAAATGACAGATCTATCCCGGATGGGTCCAGGCGAGAGATGAGACGTCTTGCTCTGTTCTCTACTCTGTCAAGCAGTCGCAGATGAGAGGGGGGCAGGCAAACCAAGAAAGTGGAGCATACTCAAGGTGTGAGCGTACTTGTGCCTCGTACAGAATCTTGCAACCCCTACTGTCAAGTAGATGCGAGATACGGCGAAGTACTGTAAGCTTCCTGGCTGCCTTGTTTGCAAGATTTACAACATGGTTCTTCATGGTTAGTTTGGAGTCAAATTTCACCCCAAGGATATCAACTTCTTCTCCAGGTGCCAACACCCTCCCATTCATCCTTACTACTGCACCAGCATTACCATCATGGTGCCTAGAGACCATCATCATTTGCGTTTTCTCAGGTGCAAATGTTACTTGCCATCTATTTCCCCAAGCTGATATAGCTCTCAGCTGGTGATTGATGTAGCTTAGAGCAGCTGGCATTTCTTCTCTTGGATAAGTGAATGTCAGTGTACAGTCGTCTGCATATGCATGTGATTCTGGGATGAGATGAAGAAGGTCGTTGAAGTAGACATTCCATAACAATGGTCCCAGCACGCTTCCTTGTGGAACACTTGCCCCAATAGGATGTCTTGCTGATTCCGTTCCATTGAGAACTACACTTAGAGATCTACCATGAAGGTAATCACTGAGGAGACATAGCGTAGAGCCTGCAATTCCCAGTGCTTGACGTTTTGCTAAGAGGCCCTGGTGCCACACCCGGTCGAAAGCGCCAGCAATGTCCAGTGCTATCACACAGCTGACTTTGGATTCATCCAGTGACTGGTGCCACTTAGTGAAGAGGTTTAACAACAGATCAGCAGCAGAGTAACCTTTCCTGAAGCCATACTGACGATCACAAAGTAGTGAGTGATAGTCAAAAAACTCTGTCATTTGTCTTGAGATTATTGTCTCAAGGATCTTACCAGTGATTGACAGGAGTGACACTGGTCTGTAGTTGCTGATTTCTGCCTGCTCTACTCTTCTTTTTGTGAACAGGGACTACATTTGCCTCTTTCCATAGAGAGGGCCATTTACACTGTACTAGGCAGTGCTGAAAGATGCGAGTTAGAGGTACTGCTAGCTGGTCTGCACATCTCAGCAATCTTGGGCTCAACTTGTCTGGGCCCACAGCCTTTTCTTGGTCAAGCGATTTAAGAAGGAAATGCACCTCCTCCTGCCTTATTGTCACCACTGACAGTTTTGACACAGTTCTTGCAGCTAGCCAAGGAGGGTCCCTTGCTGGATCAGGAACTTGCATTTTGGTAGCAAAGTGTTCAGCAAAGAGGTCCGCCTTCTCTTGACTACTAGTAGAGGTGGTCCCATCCTGTCGATTTAGAGGTGGAATGAGTTCATCAGGCAGATAACCTTGTCTGTCCTTGACCAGGGACCACCAGGTTTTGGAGCCTACCCTGCCTGATGCTAGCTTTCTTTTAGTGTCCACCTCCCATTTAGCAATGGCCCACTTTTGAACGTCACCCATATGCCTACAGGCTTGCCTGTGCAAGTTCCTGTTATAGGTGGTAGGATGTCTCTTATACCTTCGCCATGCTTTGTACTTAGCAGTAGCAGCCTCTCTACAACGAAAGCCAAACCAAAGCTGATCTGTAGGCTTCGTCACATATTGCCGGTGAGGAATGTGTTCTTGTTGTAGATTAAGGATGTGTCCAGTGAAGGCTTTCACTTGGTTGTCAACATCCCCTTGGAGAAGAGCATTCCAATCGGTGGTGGCGAGCTCAGAGCAAAGGGCTGGCCAATTACCTCTTTCCCATAGCCAGGTCGTGCGTGTGGACTCCTCACCTCGTTCTGTTGGGATCTTAAGTGTCGTAAAAGCAGCCTTGTGGTCAGACGATCCAACATAGCCGAGGAGTTGACAAGTGACTATGCCTTCTGCCAGATCACTCATTACTGGGTCAAGGGAGGAGCCAGAGATGTGAGTAGGGAAATCAACAAAGTTTGTCATGTCAAACACTGCAAGAAGGTCATCAAAGTCCCTCTGTATAAGGTGCTGGTTGAGGTCACCAACAATTATGATATGTTGACAGTTGTGTTGTAGCAGAAGGGAGTCAATATTTTCCATTAGGAAGTTGATGGGGTCTGCATGTTGCCACTGAGGTCTGTACATTGCACATGCTAGTACAGAGGTACTAGTGTTTATGCAGAGCTTGAAGAACATCATTTCAAGATGTGCAGGGGTGGCAACATCAATGTGCTGGGCATGAACACTTTTAGAGAAGCACACAACAACACCTCCTCCTCCTCTCTCTCTCTCTCCCAACTGTAGCAAGTTGAGCTCTCTCTTTTCCACCTGCAGCAAGGTGAGCTCTCTCTCTCTCCCCACCTACAGCAAGGTGAGCTCTCTCTCCCACCTGCAGCAAGGTGAGCTCTCTCTCTCTCTCTCCCCCACCCGCAGCAAGGTGAGATCTCTCTCTCCCACCTGTAGCAAGGTGAGCTCTATCTCTCCCATCTGCAGCAAGGTGAGCTCTCTCTCTCTCTCTCCACCTGTAGTAAGGTGAGTTTCTCTTTCCGACCTGCAGTAAGTGGGCCCCCTATCTCTCTCATTTCCCAATGCGAGTTCAATTTCTTGAGAGTAGAGCAGTAATTTCTCGTTAGTAAAACATTTAAGTTGGGTATTTACTACAAAAAAACAATAAAACATTCATGTAACTAGAGCCAGGAAGAAAGTACAAAACTAATAAATAATTTTCTTCGTAAAATAGCCATAAATGAAATCGAAAGAAACCCAAAGTATTTCTTCTCCTATGCCAAATCAAAATCGAGAACAACGTCCAGTATTGGGCCCCTACTTAAACAAGATGGGTCCTACACAGATGACAGCAAGGAAATGAGTGAGCTACTCAAGTCCCAATATGACTCAGTTTTTAGCAAGCCGCTAACCAGACTGAGAGTCGAAGATCAAAATTAAGTTTTTATGAGAGAGCCACAAAATTTGATTAACACAAGCCTATCCGATGTTTTCCTGACGCCAAATGACTTCGAACAGGCGATAAATGACATGCCCATGCACTCTGCCCCAGGGCCAGACTCATGGAACTCTGTGTTCATCAAGAACTGCAAGAAGCCCCTATCACGAGCCTTTTCCATCCTATGGAGAGGGAGCATGGACACGGGGGTCGTCCCTCAGTTACTAAAAACAACAGACATAGCCCCACTCCACAAAGGGGGCAGTAAAGCAATAGCAAAGAACTACAGACCAATAGCACTAACATCCCATATCATAAAAATCTTTGAAAGGGTCCTAAGAAGCAAGATCACCACCCATCTAGAAACCCATCAGTTACACAACCCAGGGCAACATGGGTTTAGAACAGGTCGCTCCTGTCTGTCTCAACTATTGGATCACTACGACAAGGTCCTAAATGCACTAGAAGACAAAAAGAATGCAGATGTAATATATACAGACTTTGCAAAAGCCTTCGACAAGTGTGACCATGGCGTAATAGCGCACAAAATGCGTGCTAAAGGAATAACAGGAAAAGTCGGTCGATGGATCTATAATTTCCTCACTAACAGAACACAGAGAGTAGTCGTCAACAGAGTAAAGTCGAGGCAGCTACGGTGAAAAGCTCTGTTCCACAAGGCACAGTACTAGCTCCCATCTTGTTCCTCATCCTCATATCCGACATAGACAAGGATGTCAGCCACAGCACCGTGTCTTCCTTTGCAGATGACACCCGAATCTGCATGACAGTGTCTTCCATTGCAGACACTGCAAGGCTCCAGGCGGACATCAACCAAATCTTTCAGTGGGCTGCGGAAAATAATATGAAGTTCAACGATGAGAAATTTCAATTACTCAGATATGGTAAACATGAGGAAATTAAATCTTCATCAGAGTACAAAACAAATTCTGGCCACAAAATAGAGCGAAACACCAACGTCAAAGACCTGGGAGTGATTATGTCGGAGGATCTCACCTTCAAGGACCATAACATTGTATCAATCGCATCTGCTAGAAAAATGACAGGATGGATAATGAGAACCTTCAAAACTAGGGAGGCCAAGCCCATGATGACACTCTTCAGGTCACTTGTTCTATCTAGGCTGGAATATTGCTGCACTCTAACAGCACCTTTCAAGGCAGGTGAAATTGCCGACCTAGAAAATGTACAGAGAACTTTCACGGCCCGCATAACGGAGATAAAACACCTCAATTACTGGGAGCGCTTGAGGTTTCTAAACCTGTATTCCCTGGAACGCAGGAGGGAGAGATACATGATTATATACACCTGGAAAATCCTAGAGGGACTAGTACCGAACTTGCACACGAAAATCACTCACTACGAAAGCAAAAGACTTGGCAGACGATGCACCATCCCCCCAATGAAAAGCAGGGGTGTCACTAGCACGTTAAGAGACCATACAATAAGTGTCAGGGGCCCGAGACTGTTCAACTGCCTCCCAGCATACATAAGGGGGATTACCAACAGACCCCTGGCAGTCTTCAAGCTGGCACTGGACAATCACCTAAAGTCAGTTCCTGATCAGCCGGGCTGTGGCTCGTACGTTGGTTTGCGTGCAGCCAGCAGCAACAGCCTGGTTGATCAGGGGCTGATCCACCAGGAGGCCTGGTCACAGACCGGGCCGCGGGGGCGTTGACCCCCGAAACTCTCTCCAGGTCTCCAGGTAAACCCAATTTTTTTTACATCTCGTGTTGGTGTTCCTGACTTGTGGTTGTGATCTGCAGGTTGCGACACTAGCCCTTCCAGCATAGCTGGCCGCATCATCTTCTGGGTGGGGTTTATGGTGCCTCTGATCGTATATTCATCCTACTCGGCCACGCTGGTGTCGAACCTGGCCGTCGAGAAGCCAGCGCCCCTTCCCTTTTCCAACCTTCTACAGCTGTCACGCCAGAAGAACTGGGATGCCGGCGTCAACAACAACGACCTGTTTCAAGTCACAGCTTCGGTGAGTAGCCTGAGGGCGAAACCTTGAGCTTGTCCACGAAACAGTGTTATAAAAACAAATTTATTCACTGACGTTACGATCTGTCCAATGTCCCTTAAACATACAATGAGCTGTGCTTATCAAAATTAAAAGCTTTATTAATAGCATGTGAATAGAGGAACACGGAAGTAAGTCTACTTGTCCATACTAGTACAAGTACTAGGCACTTTCCTACACATTTTCCACTTGCACCACAATGGTACATTCAGATACCTAATGCCCTGCAACATAGTGGTAGACACTCACACTTGTACCCCTGCAACACGATGGTACAATCTCAAACCTGTACCCTTGCAACACGATGGTATAGTACCACCCCTGTACCCCTGCAACACGATGGTACAGTCCCACCCCTGTACCCCTGCAACACGATGGTACAGTCCCACCCCAGTACCCCTGCAACACGATGGTACAATCTCAAACCTGTACCCTTGCAACACGATGGTATAGTACCACCCCTGTACCCCTGCAACACGATGGTACAGTCCCACCCCTGTACCCCTGCAACATGATGGTACAGTCCCACCCCTGTACCCCTGCAACATGATGGTGCAGTCCCACTCCTGTACCCCTGCAACATGATGGTACAGTCCCACCCCTGTACCCCTGTAACATGATGGTACAGTCCCACTCCTGTACCCCTGCAACATGATGGTACAGTCCCACCCCTGTACCCCTGCAACATGATGGTACAGTCTCACCCCTGTACCCCTGCAACACGATGGTACAGTCCCACCCCTGTAACACGATGGTACAGTCCCACCCCTGTACCCCTGCAACATGATGGTACAGTCCCACCCCTGTACCCATGCAACATGATGGTACAGTCCTACCCCTGTACCCATGCAACATGATGGTACAGCCCCACCCCTGTACCCCTGCAACACGATGGTACAGTCCCACCCCTGCAACACAATGGTAGTCCCACCCCTGTACCCCTGCAAGATGATGGTACAGTCATACCCCTGTACCCTGCAACACGATGACACATAAGTATTGACGCTCTTATTTTTATAATTATTTCTGAAACTAGAGGAAACGCCATGTTTGATATATTGCAGCAAACGTGTGTGGGGTCACCGGCGGAGGAATGTCGTGTGATGCGGGATGTGTGGAGCAACGTAGTGATGCGTAACCCTGGCAACATCGTCAACTCTTACAGCCAGGGGCTCGAGAAGGTCCTTAACGGTAAGCCGTACCCGAGTGCAGCTGTGTAATTCTCGTGTTTACTTCAGTATCTTCATCACTTTGTCCTCAGTCTTTTTCTCTCTCTCCTGTTCCATATTCTCCACACCTATTTCAGTGACCTGGACTGTTCTTGCCTTTCTTTCTTTTTTTTTTTTTCTCAGGGAAGGTTCCTTGACGCTGGTGAGGGGCTCTTGATCTGGAGAACTTGATTTGTGTTCCAGTTCCCCAAATTGAGTCTGAATACCTTCCATCCCCCCATATGCACTGTATAATCCCTACGGGTTTAGCGCTTCCCATGATTAGTTAGTTTTTTTTTTTCGTTTCCTACTTGTACTTTATTTAACTTCGCTTTCTTCTGTTGATAAATTAGACACATGTGCAAATCTTGGGTATCTTTATTGAGGAAACGTTTCGCCACACAGTGGCTTCATCAGTCCATACAAAGGAGAATCTTGAAAAGGAGGAGAATGAGGTAATCAGTCCCTCCTGTTCTTCAAGATTTTCCTTTGTATGGACTGATGAAGCCACTGTGTGGCGAAACGTTTCCTCAATAAAGATACCCAAGAGTTGCACATGTGTCTAATTTTTCAACGTGTCGGTTCTCTGAACCATTCATCTACAATTCTTGTTCTGTTCTTCCCTTTATAAGCTGTTTGCTTATGTTCTGTGTTCTCGCTCCATTACACAATTTCCATGGAATCCTCTCATAGTGAGAGATGACCAAACGTCAGAAGGTATATGTCTCTTGTACCTATAATCTTCACTTCTTCATATACCCTATGGTCTTCTAAACTTCACTGCTCAGTAATCTCTTCTCTAGCTAGTGACCGACGTGTTCCTTGCCAGGTAAATACGTCTTCATAGGCGTCGACGTTGCAACCAACTACTACATACGTCAGCTGGCGACCCAGGAGGCGTGTAGGGTGAAGGAGCTGCCTGGCAAGTACCTTATGGGTGGGGTCGCTATAGGTCTGCAGCACAACTCTCCCTTCAGGCGGATCTTCGACCATAGGTGCGTCTCCGACATGGTAGCGGCGCGTCGAGGTGCTAGGAGCAAGTTACATTTTAATCTAACCTGTCCTAAGGCACACCGACCCTAGCAGTAAATAGGTACCTAGGCGTTAAGCGTTAGTTGGCTGTTATGGGTGACATCTTAGTGGAAGGAGTGGTGGTGTACCTTAGAATTAAGCTAGGTAGTTGAGTCATGTGTTTTACTCAGTAACTCGCCAGGATTGTGTATCATTAAGGATATGATGCTACGTGGGTAACGTGTCTCGCGATTTACGGAAGGAAGATCAAGCCTCCACCTTTTTTTTCTCGTCCACCTTTTTTTTCCTCGTCCACCTCGCTATTCCAGTAAATAGCCCTCAAAGATTAAGCCCCCCTTCATAAAATAAATAAATTCTCATAATTCAGAAAGAAGAATTTAAATGTTGAGCCACAAGAAATCTCTTCCAGTTCTTTGAATGATTTAAGGTAATTGGTTCCCCCTAGAGGTACGGGAGAGAAAAAAAAAAATCTTTGGATGATCCCCACCAGAAAAAGAACCATCGAAAAGTTCTCATTACTTACTCCTGTTTCTCTTGTGGTGTGACGGACAGTCTGCAGAGGATGAGAGAGGTGGGCCTGTTGAACCGTCTGGCTCTCACATGGCTGAAGACAGAACGCTCCTGTACCCCCGGCAACACAGTCTCTGCAAGTATGCTTGAACTCTCAGCTATGTTCATTCTTCTCATCATGGGACTGGCTGCTAGTCTTCTAGTCCTCGCTGCAGAACTTACGGTACGATCTCTTGTTTTTTCTTAGTAAAACATAAGGTATTGGATAAACCTTTTGATATTTTAGTTATAATTATTTATTATTATTTTACAATGGCCACGATTGCAAAGTTGAATTAGATTTAGTCTCGTTGTGTTTAATAGTGAAACATAATGGTACAATGAAATATGAGTCTGAGAAGAACTTGTCTAGTATGGACCAACTCGTGTTACTGTTTTTGTGGTCCAACTTGTCTCATCAGCAACCAATTGGCATAAGTTTGGTACATTATGTCTCTCTCGCACTGTTATAACTTCACAAAGCCTTTCACTCAACGAATATACGTGGTTCGTGAATCTTTCACTCAATGAATATATGTAGTCCATACATTATTCACTCAGAGAATATACATAGTTAGGGTATTTTTCATTAAAAGCCTTTGACTTTAACTTTGCTACCTTAAAGGACTAGAATCAACACTTAGTGAAAACAAAATATTCGTAAACTGTTTAAATTCCACTTTCCATTGGATTTACATCGATCTTTCTTGCAGATTTCAAGATCTACGACACGGAATCCTACTAACAAAATGACGTGAAGACTGATTTACTTATCTCGTCTCGACTTACAGCATCATACAGTCATAATATGGAAAAAAAAAAGAAAATATTTCAGGCTAGTATTCCTATGCTGTATCAAAAATACTTAATACTTAGAAAAAATATTAATTGCGCTATACATACGGGGTGATACGGTGATAAATGCTGAGTCACACTACCATTAAGGCGGAGTTAGTTAAATAAGAATTTGCAATTCCCAGTGAAGGGGGATCATGGCCACTATTCCTTGTATTTTTTTTAATCCGTTTGCCTAACTAATGTTATCATGTGCAAAAGCATGGAAGTAACGGTAGCAAGTAGCAGTATAGTTCAGCATTTACAGTTACTATATTTCATAGGTATGCAGGGAGTAGAATGAATCTACAAGAGGAAAATTATTTAGCTGTAATATTACAAACAAGTGACCAACTCGTGTACAGATGCCATCACTGAGAATGTGTGTCGACGACCAAGTCAGGTTCTTGTACAGCTGTTGACGACGAAGCCAGGTTCTTACACAGCTGTCGACGACAAAACCAGGTTCTTGCACAGCTGTCGACGACAAAGCCAGGTTCTTACACAGCTGTCGACAACAAAACCAGGTTCTTGCACAGCTGTCGACGACGAAGCCAGGTTCTTACACAGCTGTCGACGACGAAGCCAGGTTCTTGCACTTTGTGCCATTACGATGGCAAACACTTCAGTTTCTAATGTATAAGCCCAACTAATTCTTATGCCTAATTCAACATAGATGTCATAGTTCTTGCCTAGGGAGGTGGCAACAAGTGCAGTTGCAGCCCTGCCAGTAGACTCCTGCTGGAGGCTTCTTGGGAAGGGCTTTTATAAGATATTATATGACTACTCTGCACTCTGTTGACTAACGCCCACAGGATGGGTATGGGGTGTATAACAAAGATATTAAATTTTAACTATGTGTGTGGAAATTTAATTTTCCTAAATGTGGAGTATATAAATGTAAGTAGATGTAATTATGTGTTAAAATAGTGCTGGATTTGACTATTGAGAAACTTCGAGTGTGGAAGGGGGGGGAGGTGTCCAGCAGGGCGGAGTAATGCCGGGGGAGACGCCATAATTAACCTGTGTACACTGGTTGCTACAATTATCTGATTGAATCGGGCGTCATCGAGGCCATATTTGTGTGTTTCGGTCTGGATTTGTAATTGGAACCTTTATTAATGTCCCCCGCTGAAGAATAGGGACAGGAAATTTACAAAACCACCATAATAGGGTGGTGACATGTCTACAGCACACCTTAATAAGTAACGCTTACCTATAATTTACAGTGGCTTTACGTTGGCCATCGTAATTTCTAGTTGTCTATGTAACGTTAGGGTGTGTTCCAATGGTGATATAAACTGTAAATGTTAACATAAATATCTTAATAATTGTATAATATTTTGGTCACCATATAAAATATTAATTACAGTTCTTACCTAGTCTCTATATTACTATATCACTATTTCTTGAGTTAAAGTCCATAAAATATTATACGGCTCACATAATCTTAATTTCCAGTGTTACTGGTTTTATTAAATTCCCGGCGAGAGTAGAAACATTGGACGTGTTTCCTTACACCGGTTGTCTATGTTCCCCATCAGTAAAATAGGTACCTGGGAGTTAGTCGGCTGGTGGGTCGCATCCTGGGACAAAACTGACCTAATTTGCCCGAAATGCTCTGCATAACAAGCGGCTTTCTATATAGTAGTATGTCATTGATGTCAGCTATGGTCTGTATATCTTGTACATGTACTTGTAGAAATAAAGATATTATTATTATTATTATTATTAATTTAATATTGTGTCATGCTTTGTGTGAGTGTGGTTTGGGGTGAGTGGACATCGAGGGAGGTACAGTGTTGATGAGACCTGAAGTCCCACCTAGCTCTGAGGTACAATTAACATACGTGAGTATCATCTTAGTTACACCTAGCCCAAATTACATGCATGTTATAATTCAGGTTAATACCTGTACACCTTATGCAAGTAATTTCTCACATAAGCTGTTGATCCTTCATGAACCGGAAGTAATCAGTGAAAATTTTATTAATTTAATAAATAAATGACTTGACTGAAAGAAAAGGATTGTTGGGTTCACATATAATTGAAAATAATAAATATAATTAATGGTGTTTGTGTGGTAGATTATAGTTTCCACAATTAATTGAATCTGCATGCCCATATTGGGCTAGGATTATAATTGGCGTACACATCTTTAATATTGGTGTACATTTGTATAATCGCCATAACGTAAGGGACTGCTATGCGAAACTGAATAATTGTTATCAATGAAACAAAGGAAATCATCATACTGTAATGTGTAAGGGTTTGTATAATGATAGTAATTACTCCATAGCCTGTACCTGGCTATGGAGTCATCTCCGAGTGTTGTGGTAGCGTGTACCTGACTTTGGAGTCATCTCCGGGTGTTGTGATAGCCTGTAACTGGCTATGGAGTCATCTTCGCTGTGCTAGCCTATATCTGCAGTACACAGATGAATTCAGTATCATTTCAGTATTCATTCAGTATCATTAAGCGATACATCACTTGTTTAAGATAGGATGACGGTGTGTTTGTCATTGTATCCTGGTGACTAAATTAGCACCGCCCCTGTGAACAAAGCAAAGATGAGCCTAATTCATTTTCATCACCCACTATGATCTGAAGACTAACAGAGGAGTGCTAATAGTATTTTTGTCTTCAACGGGCACTCAGAGTCTTCTCTAATGAACCCCCCTAAAGCTTGAACACAATTACCTAGAGAACAGCCTCTCAGTCCAAAGATTTCCTCGACACGTGATTTCCCCATTCGCAAGCGTAAAGGAAGCGAGATGCGCCACAACGCCAAGAACCAGGACAAAACTATTAAGAGCTACATTACTACCAACAGGGCCAGAGCAACACAGTATCTCTCTATGCTATTAAGATCATACGAGACTTGACAAAGACCTCAGGCCGACATCGACCCAAGACTCATGTGGTTACTAGTATTTCCTGCGGACGATGTGACCTTTGTTACTTTTGTTTTTACTCAAATCAGTTTTAAAGCCCAGCCCTATATAAATTATACTACTACCCCACAGGATGCGACCCTCAAGAGTCGACTAACACCCACTAGGTGAACGGGACATCAAGTGTAAAGAAACGTGCTCAGTGTTTCCACCCTGGCTGGAGTGCGCTACCAACCGAGGCACGGGACACCTTTTCTATGTCAAGGAAACAGCCAGAAGCTTGTAATGTAAGATGGTGCTATGAGAATGCCGACAACTAGTACTTGATAAAAGTTGGAAACTTTGAGATAAAATTTCGCTTGCCCAGCGGACTTGAAAATATTCTGATATGCCAACTGACTTAAAAACGTTTGCTATGCAGACAGAATGTCATCAAGCCTGCTGCGCGGGGGAAACGCTGTGTATATAAAGTTTTCAATAACTGTTTGTCTCTCTTATCACCTAGAAGGTTACCTATTTACCTACAGCAACACAAACATGCCTGAAGAGTGGTGTGCAGCATCAAGAGAACGATAAAGTCAGGTGTAGATGCTTGGAAACGTCTACAATAAAACACAGAAACACCATCGAACAAAACAACGGGATGTTCACTCTAGCGCTCTCTACAGAACGCATTGTTCTATAACGAAGGAAATCTTACATAGGTAGGTAGGGCTCTTGCTATATATGGTATAGGAAGAACCCTAATATAAGAGCCCCTTATAATCTCAATGCTCCTCACTCGCCTTTCTGACCTCGACGCTGTTACTCAATTTCCTTATGTACTTAAAGTTCACATGTGAGTGAAACGTTGTACTTTTCTTCTTTACAAGCTACCTGGGTACTAGTTCATTACTGCTTCTCTTGCTGCTGTTGTTGCATTTGTTGTTGCTGCTGCTGTAGCACTTGCTGCTTGCTGTAGTTGTTGCAGTTGTTGCTGTTGCTGTTGTAACACTTCCTCCTTCTCTTGCTGCTGCTGCTGCTCCAACTGTCGTTTCTGCTGATTTTCCTTCTGCTGATGATGTATTTAATGCTTGTGCTACAGCTGGTGGTACTGTATATATTGCTTTTGCTACAGAAGCTGCTGCTGCATCTGTTATCACTACTGCTGTATATGTTATCACTGCTGCAGCATCTGTTATCACGGCTGCTGTATCTGTTGCTCCTGCTGCTGCTACTTATTTTTTTATCTATCGTAAGCACACGAGCTGTGACTAGATCATAACATTTCAAAATTCTAATCAAATATTGATGTTTAAGGACACGAAAAGAATGTTTTTGTAGTTATGATCCCTTGCCAGTTTTACCTTGAAATATAAAGACACTGGTTCTTTGAACAGTGCTATTAAAGAATTTCGGGCAAAACACTTCATAACCTATAGATGGTGGAAGAAAAAAATTTATATCTTCGAAATAATCATTTCTTAAGCTACTTCCGGAATTTCTTATTGTTTTTATGAGCCTCTCTCTTTTTTTTTTTTTAGATGTACGGATTATTTGCTATTATTGGATTATCTTTCTTGCAATATGACCGAAGCAATCACAAAGTCTTCTAAACAATTTCATTGAAATAAATGTAGGGTAGATAAACTTAAACAAATACAATCTTCAGAGTAAATAAATTCGTAAAAAATTGTGCTATATATCAGTTGCAACGTAGCGCAGAAAACCACACGAGACACAACGCGAGCAATATTAAACATCCGAATTTGCATGACGTTGTTATCCATCGAAGACACTGCAAGACTCCAAGTGGACATCAACAAGTTTTTAAAGGAAGTGCGGAAGAGGATATGAAGTTCAATGAAGAGAAATTTCAATAACTCCGATATGGAAAACTCGAGGAAATTACAACTATATTGGGGTATAAAACAAATTCCAGTCACACAATAGAGTAAACAACTAATGTGAAGGACCTGGGAGTGATAATGTCAGAGGATCTCACTTTCAAAGATCACAACAATGTATCTACCTCATCTGCTTGAAAAATGATAGGATGGATAATGAGAACCTTCAAAACTAAGGATGCCAAGCCCATGATGATTCTCTTCAAATCGCTTGTTCTCTCTAGGCTGGAATACTGCTGTACACTAACTGCCCCCTTCAGGGCAGTCGAAATTGCTGACCTGGAGAGTGTAGAAACAACTTTCACGGCACACATAAGTACGATAAAGCACCTAATTTACTGGGAACAATTAAAATCCCTTGATTTGTATTCCCTGAAATGCAGGCGAGAAAGATACATGATAATAGACACTTGGAAAATCCTAGAGACTAGTCCGAAATTTTCACACTCCCTACGAAAGCAAAAGACTCGGCAGGAGGAGGTGCAACATTCTCTCAATGAAAAACAGGGGCGCCACTAGCACGATAAGAGACAACACAATAAGTGTCAGGGGCCCACAACTGTTCAACTGCCTCCTAGGATACATAAGGGGGATTACCAATAGACCCCTGGCTACCTTCAAGAAGGCACTGGACAGGCACCTAAAGTCAGTACCTCATCAGCCGGACTGTGGTTCGTACGTCAGTTAGCGTGCGGCCAACAGTAACAGCCTGGTTGATCAGGCCCAGATCCACCACGAGGCTTGGTCACAAACCAGGCCGTGGGGGCGTTGACCCCCGAAACCCTCTCCAGATATTATTTCTTTTATTATTACTATTATTATCATTATTTCTATTATCATTATTATTATTTTTTTCATTATTATTTGATGAATGGTTTTGAAAACCGACAAATTGAAGAATTGAGACACTTATGCAATAAAGATTCCCATGTGATGCATAAGTGTCTCAATTCTTCATTATTATTATTATTATTATTCGCTAAACCACTAAAGTTGAAGTATTTAAGCAGCACTTGGGAGATATGAACCGAGGAAATGAAGGGTAGTAGCTCCACCCCCTTGAATGAAGAGCCC